TTCTAGATCGGTCGATGTTTGCCCATATGAGGAAGTGGTCGGTCGAAACTTTATCTATCGCACTTACGTGCAGCTCTGGGATCTGCGTGCTCCCCCTATCTACCAGGATGTAGTCGAGGATTGAGTATTCATTGCAAACTGCCCGTTGCCTGGTGAACTCCGGCTTATCGCATCCCTCCTACCGTTCAACACCATCAGTTCGTTGCTTCCCAAGAATTCAAAGTATCCTCACTCCGTTGTCATTCACTTTGTCTTCTCCGTGCTGCCCGATCGCCTGTCCTCTACTGGAAGCTTTCCCTACTCTGGAGTTGAAATCGCCCACCATGACAACTTCTCCCTTCCTACTGAACCTCTGGACATCTTCCCCAATTTGTCCAAAGTTCTCCTGCGCCTTGCTTGCGACTTTCTTCGACGACGGTGGGACGTATACGTTCCCTAGAAACAAATCTTTCTCACCCCGCTCCCCAGGTATCTTAAGCCATAGGCTTTCCTCGAACTCCGTTTTCACCACTACTTCCACCACGTCAAACAAGTGTTCCTTGACCAGGAATCCGACTCCCCCCTCCCACCTTTTCTTCGGGTCTAAGCCCTTTCTGGCCTTCCCTACCCATCGGTATTTCCCTTGTTTGCTGACCACGTCCCCATCCTTCAATTCCCACGTCTCTTGGATCCCCACTACATCTAGATCGCTTTGTTCTACTTGGTCCACTATTTCCAACCGCTTGCGCTCACTCCTTGCGAACCCGCACACGTTCCACGACCCGACTCTCAGCTTGCGCTTTTCCCTATTGGAGATTTTGCGCACTCTATCGTTTGTCTTCCGCTTCTTCTCGGACTTCTTCTGACTTGCTTGCTCGACTGCCCTGCTCGGTCCTTTCTTCGCCTCCGTCGCCCTCGCCTCCTGTCTCCTTACCTTCTCTGTTTCTATCATTTTCGCGACGCAAACCCTCCATCCAAATTTCCTCACGTAGTTCGACAGCTTCTCGATGTCAACCCCCAAGCACTCTTGGCTGTCTCCCTTGGTCAATTTCACCCGGAAGTGTTCATGCTCTCTGCCTACTTGTCCCCTTGCTAAGCAGTGCAGTCCCTCCCTGTCACAACAGTTCTTGAACTCTATCCTCGTCATGTCCCTTGGAATCCAAACAAACAGCAGCACTTGCTCCCTTAAGCTTCAACACACCACTCGGGAGAACGCTGCTCTAACCACGCGCGGTGCCGTGGAATCTATGCCTAAAGGCAAGGGGAAGGGGGCACGTGTCGACCTCGGGACGTAGGAGCAAGCTCTATCTGCAAGTCTGCGGTTGAGAGCTCTTGGCTTCCTGAGCTACGGTGCGGTGGGACTCTAATTGTAGGGAGCGTGCAGCGTTCAAGGGCCGAAATCAAGCCAGTCGACTATTTAGTCAGCGCTGGCTAGACTAGTGGCTTCATTTCGCCTCTACTGGTGGAGTCTATTATGTATCACAGGGTGAGGTGGAACCCACAGGTAGTCCATCCTTCCTTCTAACGCTCTTGGTGGCAGACGGTGCTCCCGCAGGTCTGTGTCTAGCCAAGTGTGGGTGCAACATGGCTTATGTGCGTCCCTACGGGTGTATCGAGTTTTTTTTTGTGGCAAACGCTTTGTACTGAAACATTTGCGGACGGGTGTGTCGAGCTACTAAAGTACGCACAGTGAAAAAACATACGTGTCCTGCCCAACAACACGCGCCTTCCAGAAATTGAGCGAGCGAAAATATTTTAGCCAGAAACACATTTCATGTACTTGGACACAAACCGGTTTGCTCACAACACATGTATCATCGAACACGAAGTGGTCACCGTAGCCTAATGAATAGGACGTGTTGTTGGTGTTGGTGTGGGCGGATAGGTCGACGGGCAGACGGGCGATTGGAACGCCGCGACCGCCGGGAAAAAAATCGAGTGCGGAAATACAAGTAGGACGCACGATTTTTTTCTTTTTCTCCGCTGTAGATATACTTTTATCGTGAAGCACTCTAACGGGCCGTCAAACTTTGCGAGCATGCACGGAATTGCGCGCCCCCACACGCTATCCCACCGCATGTTCCCATCTCGCTGCTGATGTCGTCGCATCACGCCTGCATCGTCTTCTATGTTTGACGTTGTTGTATTCTGCGTACCCCCTGCTCTTCCCGCGGAAATGAGAAATGAGCAGCCCGTGTGTGACATATGGTTGCCCACAACGGCTGGGGGGCGATAGACTTCAAGCGCACCGTATGCAGAAGGCAAGCGGCAAGGAAGGAATCGGCAACACAGAAAATTGATCATGCCGCTGCGGAGTTGATCCTTTTCCTGCTGCTGCCTGCAGCTGCCTGTGATCGTGCTTTTGATTGCTGGGCAGGGGGACAGGAAAATGTCGTACCCAGCAAGCAGTTGCGCCGCACGCGGCACTGCTCACCTCTTCCTCCAGCTGCGCCCACCGTGGGCCGGCCACCCTCCCCTCCTCCAGCTCCAAGGTTTCCTGTGCATGGCTTCTGTCATTGGCCTCCATTGTGGGGCCCAAGATTTGCTGCTGCGTACTGCTTTCAAGGATGCTGAGTAGTTGCTTTTGAGGCCGGGGTGCCGGAGGAAATGGAAAACTGGATGGAGGCCGTTTGTCAACTTTCCGCCGAAACGCCAAGAATGGACCGAAACGACACATCTGTCACGACCGATGACGAATGCGCCATCATCCATCACGGTTCGGCTACACGATTCGCTGTTGGGCATGCTTACAAATAGTAGCTGAAGAGACCGTACTTACGTGGTTCCAAGAGAACAGCATCCCAATCTCGAGGAGGAGGAGGAGCGATACGACGTACGACAGGGTTTTTGGCGCGCACGAGCTTGAGCCTGAACTTCGGCGAACGGCGTCTCTCTCTGACAGAGACTGAAGCTGGTGGTTGAAGTGGGGGTTCCGAGCGCAGGTTGTCGCGTCAAGGAGTGGAAACGCGGTGACTCAAGATATGCCCGACAAGCAGGGCCAAGGGCATCTCGGTGTGGAAAGGCCCTCTGTCGCCGACGAAAAGGTGAGAGAGAGACCGTTCGATCGATCGTAACTATGGCCGGGAGGCACAAGGTTGACATCGTTGCATCACATTCGGCAAAATCTACACAAACATCATCCGTCTATAGTTCGACGCCTGTTCGCCGTACCCGTGTAGGTAGCAGGAAGGACGAGTGGGGTATGTACATAGTCGAAGCATCGACAACGGGAATCTACTGTACGTAAGTCTGTAGACTAGACAATCGACAATATGCTGTCGTACGCAATGCAAGTGCTCTATTTTCAGGTCCCGAAGGTGGAGTCCACAATCAACACATTGTCGGCGCTTAGCAATCTCACACGAGAAGAGAGCAGCACCCAAAGACAATGCCTTGGTCGGTTTGGCACATATATATACTGCAGACTGCTGTGTTGTTTTCAACACGTGTGGGCTAAGCGCTCCTCTGAATTCCATCTTACACGTGGTGCTTCTTCTTTGGCGGAGGAGGTGACTCCTCACTATGTCTTACTGTGAAGGCGTACCCGTACAAGGTTCATGTGTATCACTTCTATTTCATCTGTTTGTCGAGCGTTCCCGCTCGAAGTCGTAGAGGCAACCCGGTCTTGGACGAGGAGAGAGTTCCGGTCATCTGATTTCATCCCTAGATGAAATAGCTTCGAAGATAGCTCTTCTCACCGCGGAATACCTCATATTTACCTTTGAATAGTCGGAAAGAGGACGGGCAGGGTGGAGACAAGGACCATTTTTAGGGTGAATACTACATGTACATAGCGGTCAGTATGTAGGCTTCGCAAAATACGCCGATGACCTGCTTGTATCGATCTGGAAAGCACAGCGTTGATCACAGGGATGACAACCCTTGGGAGACGTGTTCGTGGCTTGAAAGCTTGACGGACTCAGGCATTAACTTTTGTTGAGAAGGACGATAACCACTGGGCTACAGTACCACTCAGCGCTGACTGGTAGTCCGGTCTGCCTTTGCAGCCACGAACACGTCCCCCCCAGGGTTGCCATCCCTATGATCAGCGCTGTCTTGCCAGGAGATCGCTATCGGTACAAGAGGTTCATCGGCATATTTTGCGAAGCCTATTTCCTCAGCCTTGTTCTTCCCATATATCGGGCACTTGTTGTTGAGAAGTACGATGACCACTAGACCACCAGTCAGCGCTGACTAGTGGTGTCGTGGTCATCGTGCTTTTCAACAACAAGTACGCCCGTGAATCCCATCTCAGTCGGGTTTTGTCCTTCGGCGGTAAATCGTCTGTCCAAAACAACAAAACCTCTCCACATGTATGCGTGCTGTACGATAGAGCACGACTAACCCCGTGGAAAGAGATAGTTTGTCGGGGACTGCGATGCGCTTAGGGCCTGTATAAACGTTTCTTTTTGTCACATAAATTGAATACCGAAATTGGGTCAACCAATTTGGGTTTTTGGTCAAAAAGGGCTTGCGTCGTTTTAACGCAGTTTTCCACACCGAAGTTTAGCAACACCCAAATGCGGCGGAATCGCTGCCGCGAGGTAACGTGGTGACCCAAACAGGTAGAGCGATAGACCATGTGCACCACACGGGAGCTGTAAAAATAAATCAGCACGCACACCCACCTAAGCATCAGCATGTGGTGCCAGCGGTCCAAGCCTCATCCTCAGGCTTGCTCTAAGACTGTTGTTTGGACTGTCTCGCTGCACACAACCTGACGTTGACTTTTGACATCGCACATATCGGAAAACAACTTTCCCAGCAACCAAATCAGCGCGAAAAGTTGGCACGCTCACAGATTCATTGCAATACAGCTATCTCCCAGCAGCGGGCAGTGGGCGATGCGTGTGGGTACCGCACGGCCAGTGTGCCACATGCAGTCCCGTCAGGGATAACGCCAGCACGAGTTCAGCTCATCACGGGGGGTGCAAAAGGGGCGCAGTGCAACTCGGGTACTTCGATTCAGCAAAAAACAATTCAATTTGCAATTGTTTTTTGCTGCACCCAATGTCGAAGTCCGCTTTTCCGGGCAGAAAAAGCCTCATCGTGTTTTTTCCTGTTGACCAAGCAGCGTCTTTGGCCCCCGGCACCCCCCCGAAACTCATTTTGTGCAGGGCCTAAATTAAGGTGCAATTTGTTAACGTTAAAACAGGCCCTCAACCTTCGATGGGTATTAAAGCTGATTAAGTAGCTCCAAGCGACTGGTTCGAAAAAGTGGTCGCTAGCTTTATTCCTGCCGTCCCAGATGGATGAAGCCAAAGGAAACTTTCGTTAACGACTGGTACACTACGAAGACGCCACAAAGAACCCGTGATATCGAACGCGTGTAGATGGAGTGAAGTATTTGGACATACATGTGCACGGGTAGTTTCTGTAACTTGATCCGATTGTTGCTGATTTCCTTTGTTCTCCTTGACGATGCTTTCCTATCGCCTTGCACGCACACCATGAAGCCGGAATCCAACAGACACAATGTGGGTAGTAGAAGACGACACTCGAGTTGTGCCATCCTGTCAAGCACACACTGAAGAAAATAAGTCACGTGACTCAAAATGCCCCTGAACCTGGCCATAACGCCGCATCACCACACGGCTACCGCCAAATACCATGGCATCTTCACGAACACGCGAAGGTGTAGCCAACGTCTGCTGCTGCTGCTGCTGCTGCTTTCGTGCAACGTAGGGCGGCACATCGGGAGGCGGCGTGAGCGGTGACGATGGTGATTCGAGAGGCTCCGGTGACAGAGAGGACGGGAAGCCTGCCTGTCTGCCCTTGCCATCCCCTCCGAGGCTGCCATCGAAGAGGACGCTGACAGACAGGTGCACAGCAGCAGCAGCAGCAGCAGCAAGCAAGCGTAGAAGCGTTGCAATGGAAGAACCAGGACGCTCGCGTCAGTCACGCTCAGATCCCACAGGGAGAGCTTCCGGAAACAAGGCGGACTCTTATCTGTGGATAGACATGGACTTCGCCTAGGTTTTGGAAGAAAAGGCAAACTGTCCTTTATTTTCGACACGTTTTTTTCAGAGAGGGTTCCAGGTGGGCATGACGTCCGCCGGGAAAAAAAACACCCGCACGGAGAGCCGGCATGACCAGATTGTGAACAGACAGAACCGGTGCTACAGGCGTAAAGGCCCGCACCAAATGGAATACCGGCCTCCTGAAGGTTGAACAGTCTAGCTCAAAAATGGCACAAGCGACAGACAAACTGCAGGCGCCCATCATTCTTCTTGTTGTTAATCGACTACGCAACGGTTGGCAGCGTGATGGACAGCACGGTGTCGAGGTTCAAGGCGTCGTGTAAACTCAGCGATCAGGGAACAGCGGCGGCGCCTTCGGCTGCGCGGACGGCCTTGGCGTCGGTGTCGTCGGCACCAAACACCGTCCGGACTCCGTCCTGGGATAAGAACGCAAGCCCGTGAGTCGACAGATAAACGTTATTGTTATTCGTTAGCCGTTGGTCTCCTTGAATTACGGCATGGGCAGAGGGAGGGCACAGTGTACAACCTCCTTTAGAACGACGACGAGGAGATGAAATTCGCGATTCTCATGTCGCCCGAAGAACGCATCCCTCCCGAGCGTGAGTGCTACCAGAAATTTAATGCTTGGACTTCAGTTGCGCGGTTTCCACCCGAGCTTCTCGACGTGTGATGTTTGTTGCTTTGAGATATTTTCCACGGACAGAGTGCCAGTGTGGCCACGTGGTTGGGTGTGACATCGTTCCTCGTGAAGGATGAAGGGGGCTTGTTTTCCGAAAGCAGAGATAAACACAGGAAGCTCTCGCCGTCCTTCACTGAGCGCGTGTTCTGTCGTTGAGGACAAGCCATCGATAGCTGCACACTCACCAGACCGCCCGTCACGAGGCTGAACACTGTATTTGTACGGTAGTGCAAAGCACGAGGGTCACCTGACTCTCTGACGCCGCGGGTATGCATCTACGCCCAACATCATCTCCGCACAATCTGAAGCCAACGACCCTTCTTTAATATCGTGCGCGCGTTCAACACCACCCTCTGTTTGCCCCAGCTCTAGCCATAGCTCCAACTGAGCGCCTTTTGGTTGGAGTTGTGGTGCGCGATGAAGGTAGTATCATGGCAGTAGTCTGTGTGCTGTAATGCTACTGCTGTTCACGGGCTGCGCACAAACAACAATCCGACTCGGGACGGAGCATCTTAGAAAATACAGATACAATCAAAGACAGCATCTTGCACGATTGGATACTAGCAAGGGATAACCAGGCCGTGCTTCCCCATCCTAACCGGCCTCGTGTCGTGACGCGAGCTCCGACGACGATCACGTCTCGCCCGTTCCTCTGCGGCATGAAAGTCAAAGTCAACGCCCCTTCTGTGTCGTGTGTATGTATGTGTTTTTTGTTATTTCCATCGACCGCGCTACCCGCAAATCAATAACGATGCGTCCGTCTCATATTGCGGTTGAAAACACAAAGGGATTCTAAAGGCCATCATGATCTGTGTTATGTGTGTGTGCGTTTGTGCGGACAACGCCATGGAAAAGTGCTGACTTGGAGGCGAGGGAGCGCACGGCTCAGGCCTGGATAGAAGCCGTGT